AAAAAGAAAACTTAGATACACCTTCAAATTGAAGTATCAACTATGGTAAATTATCTGATTCTTCTAAAATGAATCAAATTGTATAATAATGCTGCAGATCATGAGGGGATAATATAGGTAGAATGAAAAAATAAAAAAACCCTTAAAATTGAAGTATCAACATTAGTAAATTCATTTGATTCTTATTTCTTAATAATGCTGCAGATAATGTTGGTCCCGGCAAGTCCCGAACCGCTTTTCGGCCTCGAAGCCGACGAAGAGAACCTAATCGACTCGACAGACGTGGACATCAGATTACCAATGCTCGTCTACGTGTCGCGCGAAAAACGACCCGCTTTCGAGCACAACAAAAAGGCGGGAGCCATGAACTCGCTCGTCCGAGCCAGCGCCATCATGTCGAACGGCGCATTCATACTAAACCTCGACTGCGATCACTACATATACAACTCGTTAGCCGTCCGTGAAGGCATGTGCTTCATGCTCGACCGCGGAGGAGACAAAATCTGCTACGTTCAGTTCCCTCAGAGGTTCGAAGGCATCGACCCCAACGACCGCTACGCCAACCACAACACGGTTTTCTTCGACGTCAGCATGCGGGCCCTCGACGGGCTTCAAGGCCCCATGTACGTGGGCACGGGCTGCATTTTCAGGAGAATCGCGCTTTACGGGTTCAGCCCGCCGAGGACAACGGAGCACCTCGGCTGGTTCGGAAGGTACAAGAAACGAAAGCTTCTTCAAAAATCGAAAAAGGAAGACGAAGACGATGACGACGAGGACATGTTGTTGCCGATTAACCGAGAGAATCACGAGTACGAGGATGATGACGTGGCGAGAGCAGTGCTGACGAGGCAATTCGGAAGCTCGGGTTCTCTGGTGGACTCGATCCGCGTGGCGGAATTCGGCGGGAGGCTTTTGCACGGGTTACGGGCCAAGGGGTGTCCGGGCAGGCCCGCGGGCTCGTTGGCGGTTCAACGCGAGCCGCTCGACGGCTCGGCTCTAGCCGAGGCGGTTAGTGTGATCACGTGCTTTTACGAGGACAAAACCGAATGGGGAAAACGGGTCGGGTGGATATACGGGTCGGTTACGGAGGACGTGGTCACGGGCTACCGAATGCATAACCGAGGCTGGCGATCGGTTTACTGCGTGACGAAACGAGACGCGTTTCGTGGGACGGCTCCGATAAACCTAACCGACCGGCTCAATCAGGTTCTTTTATTATAAATTATATTGAGTAAATTGTAATTTTAGTCGGTATGTTTTGCTTTCGTGGTTTTTTTGTCCTTTTCGATTTCCATATATTTGCGAAAAAGTTACAAAAAGTTATTTATGTTTTGCAAAAAAAGTCCCAAATTTGTCCCTCATGTATGTTCGGGGACATTTATTTAACCCTTTTGTAAACATAAAAGAGGGAAAAAAAAAAATAATTCGAAGAGGACGAAAAAATTAAGAATAACGAAACATACATGATTAAAATTACAATTTACTCAATTATATATTATTAACTTTTTAAGCTGCAATAACATATTTTTTGTGCTAATTTTCAGCTAATTTAGTTATTATGTTTGTATATTATGAATTGATCAATTTTTTTCTCCGGCTCAATCAGGTCCTCCGGTGGGCCACTGGCTCGGTCGAGATATTCTTCTCGCGTAACAACGCGATTTTCGCGAGCACGAGAATGAAGTTTTTACAGCGCGTGGCTTACTTCAACGTCGGGATTTACCCTTTCACGTCGGGTTTTCTCATCGTGTACTGCGTTCTCCCGGCACTTTCGCTATTCTCTGGAGAGTTCATTGTGAAAACTCTCGACGTCTCGTTTTTGGTCTTTTTGCTAGCTATAACGCTAACTCTCTGCATGCTGGCATTACTCGAGATCAAATGGTCGGGTATAACGCTTCATGATTGGTGGAGAAACGAGCAGTTTTGGCTGATAGGCGGTACAAGTGCTCATCCGGCAGCTGTTATTCAAGGATTGTTGAAAGTTATTGCAGGAATTGAAATTTCATTTACGTTGACCTCGAAATCGGGTGTGGCGGATGAAGGTGAAGATGAGTTTGCCGAGCTTTACGAGTTTAGATGGACGGTTCTGATGATACCTCCTATCACGATTATTATGTTCAATGTGATTGCGATCTGTGTGGCGATTTCGAGGACGGTTTACAGTCCTTTCCCAGAGTGGAGCAAGTTGTTGGGAGGAGTTTTCTTTAGTTTTTGGGTGCTTTCGCATTTGTACCCGTTTGCAAAGGGGTTGATGGGGAGAAGGGGGAAAATACCGACAATCGTTTATCTTTGGTCGGGATTGATTTGTATTATTATTTCGCTTATGACGGTTTATGTGTATCCACCGATGGGGAGTCGAGGGAGCATTGGATTCGAGTTGCCTTGAGAGTTGTGTTGAGAGTTTGATCGATGGTTTGTTCGACTTTTAGGGTGGTGAAGTTGCTCGACTTCGTCTTGAGCTCGATTGTTGTTGTTTCTTTTTTTTTTTTTTTTTTTANCTTGTTCTTTCTCTGTTCTTTTAGTTTACGGGGAAAAATGTGTTGTTCCTTGAACTTCTACATTTCATTGAAATTTATTGGTTTTTCAGTGTATGATCATTGGTTTCACTCTTGGTTGCTTCATTTGATTGTAGAAGTTTGTTGGCCTCTTTTTTGTTCATGGTAAAGGTTGAATCTTGAAGGGGTGTGTGTGTTCAACGGTCGATAACCAAACAAGATCGAATCGAATGAAGATTTGGGTAACCGAAAACCGAACCATGAATTTAAACTTTGATTACATCCTGAGGAAAGGAACTTGACTTGTCCCAGATAGAGCTACTTTTGGGACCTTATCTGATAAGCCAACTGTTCTAAAAGAAGAAGAAGAGAAAGAGGAAAATATATATGTATTGTTATTAGTTATCACCTTTAGAAAGAGGATATCAAACTATCAAAGAGGTAGGACAAAATTTGAAAGAAAGAAAAAAAGAGAAAAAAACATCACCAGTGCAAGTTAAGAATAAGCTGTCTGTATTTGGTGTTAGGCCAAAAAACAATTTTAGCAATCAAAAGGGCAAGAATGTGTAAATTATGTAAATAGATATGGAGGATCATGAAAAATCAAGTGATGGTCCCATAACATGGAAAGGGCTCCAATTGAAATTGCTGTTTTCAAGCTGTAAAGATTTGGGCTTTTGGGGGCTTACATGTTCTGTTGGTGTCTTTTCAGCTTTCCCCCTTCTGTCTTAATTATTTTAGATATTTTCCTTTTTTCTTTCTTTCTTTCTTTTTTTCTTTCTTTTTTTATTTTAAAAAAAAAATCTCATTAAGACTGTTGTTAGGCATATTCGACAACAAGTTTGACTCATCAAAGCTGCTAACAAACTTGTTTAATTTCGCAAATGCTCATAGAGCAAGGGAGGATTCACAAAATAACACAACAGTTTAAGATTTTCAATATAATTATACAAATTGTTATTCATCAAATACTCATTTACAAATCGCTAATATAATACGTCAGTCAAATCAACTATTGCAATTTGCTATTATCTATTAATTAATAGAATCAGTTATCAACATACTGAAATGATAGATTTTAATAAAAATAACATAATTTGCTATTAGCTATTAATTAACAGAATCAGTTATCAACACACTGAAATGATAGATTTTAATAAAAATAACATAAATAAAAGTATGCTATTTTGTAATTTAATCGTGCATTTTCGTTAATTAAGTACGTAGAATTACACAACCTATTGTTATACCAACTCACATAAAAATCTTCATTTATTTTTCATCAAATTGGATTTTTATACTCAGGCAAAATGCACCCCACTCACATGCTAAAACGACAGCAAGCAGAGCGTTTTTGAGTGGTCATAGCTGGGTCAACATCTCAATGAGGGTATTCAGTATTCTGAGTTATATAATATGTCACTTTTATCTGCTACAATCAATGTATTTTTTTGTAAGATTTTGAGCTTTTTTGTCAGATGGAATTTTGTTTTACAATGTATTCTTGCCAAAGCAGGAATTCTCACAGTGCACATTTGTTTTGGGCACAATGGAATTTGTACATAAATAAGGGGCGCAAANAAGGAGCACAGCAATTTTAGGTTTTTTTTTTTTTCATTAAAAAAATATGAAAGAAAAAGAAGAACGATAATATTAGATACTTGAAATAAATGTTCGACTCCAATAGCTGTGATGATAGGGAAATGAACCTTGCCATGTGTGGTGCCAACGGTGAGAGAATCGAATTTCATTTTTATAACTTTGAACACTCTGTACGCAACAATTAAAACCTTGGGTCCCTTGATTTGGATTCCTTAAAATAATTGATATCAAACAAATGCCCAGCTCCTGATTTATATACTAATGAATTAACAAATCCATTTGTTTATTTATTTTTAAGAAAAGTAACCTTGTTAGATAAAAACTGAACCACCCAGAAAGTGCTGGAGAAAAAATTGGATAATTTATATCCTTATAAGCATTATTCCTACCTCAATACATAATCTCAGCAAGTCAAAGCATCAAAAATTGGAAGGCTATTATTCTTAGAAAGACTTACAATTATACTTATTAACTAGACATGTAATATTTTCATACGCAAATGACATGGACAAGTATGATTTTGGTTCAAAAAGTATTACGAGTCGCTAATCAAGATTAGCTCATACAAGAAAGATTTTGGGATAAAAATCTTTCTCAATCAGACTAACCGGCCAAAACTTATTAAAGAGAAATTAAACAATAACAAAAGTTTCAGAACTAAAATGAAGCAGAAAATGAAGGAACTAAAAGCCAAAAAAAAAAAAAAAAAAAAATTGGATTTTGAGGAGGGCAAAGGATGAGATCACAAGACACCCGCTAAAACACACTGTATTTGCCTATGAATCCCGTGGACTTCCGTTTGTAACTATCACAACTTCGAAATTTTAAAACACACACAATTTATGATATTTGTCCTTTGCACCGCTTCTCCTTTTAGTATATAAATAAATAAATAAATAACATCGGTTGCTATTATCCAGAGTATATAAATAAATAAATAATAAATAAAATTTATGTTACTTAAGCACTTCAAATAAACCAAGTACTACATTTGAAGCGGGCACAGCTATTTTACATGCCTTACCAACCCACTCAGAACATGTCTTAATTCTTATAGCTTATGAATGTATGCAATGAATGAATGACCTACCACTATTCCTATTTCCACCAACATTTCTAAATTTATCCCATTTTTTTCCTTTTTTATTTTTCAAAACCATAAATAAATCTTTCATAGACATAGCCCACCACCAAGTCCACCACAAACTTTTATACCAGCAATTTAATGGTTAAACGTTAAACGGGTCGACTCGTCATACATTTTGTCAATTTTGAGCTGACAAACAGAAGAGAAACTTGTACAACAACCTAATCATTAGACTACATTCATACTTATTTTACAAAAATGCATGTTTATGTTCTATAGGGGTTGAGGATGATTACTGTTCCGTTACACAAGATGGTTCCGTCATTACTTTTCACCATTGGATACAAATGCAGATTATGTAGTGTAGAGAATCTACCATAACAGTCATTCCCTTATTTATATTATATTACAAAGTATAAAATTGTTTAAGCACAGTCATTCCCTTATGTATATTATATTACAAAGTATAAAATTGTTTACCCTTAAACTTGTCTAATAGCAATCTTCATACCCAAAAAGAGTACAGAGATCGAAAATAGTAAAATAGAGGCAAGTAGGCCGACACCATGGGGTCGTCTTGTGCTAAGGGAATCCATTAGTCGAGTTGTTGAGTATTAATATTATTCCAAAGGCATTTTCGTCATTTTATTCGGTCCCCACCTCAAAACCTTCCGCCCATTTCTCAAACTAAACTAACTAATTTTAAGTTTTTAACCCTATTTTCACATTCACATAGCATAAAAAGTTAAACCCAAAATTTTCCACCCTAAATAAATGATGTCAAAACAAAATGGTGAAACACAAAGTTGCTCATTAGCTCGTGTAAAACTCATTCAGTTAACGAGTTAAAAGTTTAACTCCACTCGGCTCGAGAGATTCTTATATAATTTTTTATAGTTCAATTCATTAAGTAAACTCATTTAGTTAACGAGTTTAACTCCACTTTGCTCGAGAAGATATTTTTATAGTCAGTTCATTCAGTCTCGAATTCAGAGCATTAGTATTAATAAACGAGTCGAGCTCGAGCTCAAACTCATTGACATTCCTAAACACATTCTCAAACAAAATATAATAATCTTTCTTCATCCTTTTATTTTCAGGGGAGGAAATAATAGAATAGAGTACATGTCCCCCATTTCAGTAAGTGAGCTCATCAACATCCAAATACAAACAGAGTTCTCAAAATGAAGGCATGATTAACAACAACTAAATAGCAAGAAATAAAAAATTAAAAAATTAAAAGAGGGTAAAGAAAATGGGATATATTATATAAAAGAAATAAAATTATGACCAAAATAAAATAAAATAAATCAGTCACTGGAGGAATTTACCGGCGAACGATAGAGCTGTTACAGACGGGGAACAACAAAAAAAACGGCATCCAAATCACGCCGAGTATCCGTACAGGTCGAACGGCGCCCACAGTGAGTCTAACGGGCACGGCTGTTTAGAGTCGAGCCGGAGCCACGGCTTGCCGCTGCCGCTCCAGTGCAGCAGGCTCACTGGACCCGCGTGGAGGTCCCTGCAGCTCCCCCTCACGTTGTCCCCGCCCAGCCCGTGCTGGTTCCACCTGTGCTCGATCGGCGCCACGCGTCCGGCGAACACCAGCAGGAACGGCGGCAGCGAGCCGAGTTCGTAGATCCGGCTCGAACTCGTCTTCTGCGTCTCCATCCACGCCTCTATGCGGCGCGTGTACCCCAACCGCCTCCATTTCCCCAGATCTATCACCATCACCCCCGTGTTAAAGTAGCACGGCCGCCGGCCGGAGAACACGCTGGAGAATCTCGAGTCCGACCAGAAATGCTCGGTGAAATACTTCGTGAAATTTGCGTGGCAGTACTCGGGCGCGCCGATTGTTTTCTTCCCCAAGCTCGTCCTCCACAGCTTCGAAATGTCGTCGACGACGACCAGATCTGAATCCAAGTAAATTACCCGGGTCACGCAGGCTTCTAGAAGGTCGGCGAGGTAATTCCGGGCGTAGTTCAACGGCTGCTCGAGCGCCTGCCTCACGGAGCTCGAAATGAGGCTCCGGACGCGCTCCGGGTTGAAATAATACACTTTGAACTTCAATTGGGGGAAGGAGGATCGGACTAGGGTTTCGAGGCCCGTCTCGGAGACCAGGAAATGGAAGAAGACACTCTCAGGGCATTTCGAATGCTGGAGAATAGAATGAACGGCGGCGATCGAGCCGCGCAGGTATTCGACGTCAAGAGTAATCGCGACGTGGACCAGAGAGGGGTCGCAGACGCCGGATTCTTCCGATTTTGACGGCCGGCATTCGGGAGCATTGCGGAAATCCGGAGCCCGCCGGAAGGAGAATTTGTCGAGCGAGTGCGCGGCGGCCGGGAGCCTCAGGTACGGATCGAGGTTAGAGGATCTGATTGCCTCCGCCGGGTGGAAGGATTGAAGGGAAGGGGAAAGCACGACCATCACCATCGCGGCGGATATGAACCCGGATAATCTCATCACCCACAGCATTTTCGTCGTCCCTCTGTATAGAAATCCGTGCTTTCTCCTCTTCGATTTCAAATGGGGACAATCGGAGGAGCACGCCGGCGAGAGGAGGAACGCTAGGGTTCCTCGGAGGTCCGCCACAACAGAAATTGGGGAGAAAATTGAAGGGCGAGGAATTGAATTGCAAATCCCAAATTGGGGCAAATTTGTGCTTTGCTTTTTGGGAGATTTTTTCTTCTTTTTCTCTTCTTTCTCTCTAATGGTGTGCCGTGAGAATAAAGCGATTTTCCATCAGAGAGAAAATAAAAAGAGAAGAAAATTGGGGAAAAATTGAAATTCAATCCATCAACAGAAATGGAAGTGCAGAGGATAAAGGGTAATAGAAAAGGGGCGATTGTTCAACACGCGCCGACGTGCGCTGCAGTCACTCGGTTGCGCGCACACAGTGACACAACACCCACACTTTCTCTCTCTTATTTGGGGAAGGATATGAGCAGATGAAAGCAGAGAGAGAAGGGTACAGAGTGTTCTTTTTGGGATGGTTTTCTTTATTCGCACCAGGCTTTCCTAGTTTGAGTTTTTCCACCATGGAAATTGAGGGCCAAACCATATCGAGTTTCTTTTTTAAGATTTTCATGTCCCCTTATAATATGTTGTTATTGTAATTATTATTATTATTCGTATAAAAAAATGTAAATCCTAATAAACTCGTAAGTTCGGTTTGCCTTATTAAAATTCGATTACAACTCGATAAAATTTTTAGATCAGAGATCGTATAAATAAGTACTTATTTAGTTAACGGGTGAAATTAAATCTTATCTATTAAAACGTGAATTGGACTCTTAATATTGATAAGCAAGTCAAAATTATTTATTGGCTCATTTAGTTAAAGTTCTTTTAACTCTTTACGGACTTAGTTGAGCTCGAATCGTTAAGACTCCAGTTCGATTCATTAATATTGATAAAATGAATTAATATCATATTTTACTTAATACTCAACTCGATAACAAACTCGAGCTCAAACTCGACTCGAGTGTCAAAAGTTCAAGCTCAAGTTATACTCGAGCTCAAACTCGACTCGAGTGTCAAAAGTTCAAGCTCAAATATCAAGAACTCAAACTCAGTTTTAGTATCAGAGGTTTGAGTTCAGATTCGCTTGTTTACTTAAGGATGGAGCTCTGTAGTTTGTGAGAGTTATAATTCTTGTATTATAAATATCTTTCTCTCTAGCATTAGAAAAGGCTAGTAGCATTTAAACATAATTACTAAAATGTCTAGGTTGTACAAATGCCAGCTGTCTTTGTCTGGTGCGGCCATGACAAATGCCTCCCAACACGTCCACACTCCATACATCACACGCACATTTCCTCACTGTACACATGGGCATTTGCAAACGTCATACTCTTCATCCGTTGAAATTAATTAAAAAAATCAATTTTATTAGTTTCTTATTCATTACCATATATATATCAAATAAATAAATAAATAAATGGTAAGAGCTTACCAAATAAACTAGGTTCTTCTATCAAACTCTTCCTAAACTTCTCCGTTGCCCATTGGGCCTGTACAAGAAATCAAAATTTGAACTTAAGTTCAACTCATTTATCAAGATTAATAAATAACTTAAATCTGAGCAATAAATCTAAAGCTTTAAAAAATCGATTTATAGAAAATTATATCGAACTTTCTTTTCGAGTCAAGTCGAACCCAATTTGTTAACGAAACAAGCTCGATATCTGGTCGTTTATCAAACGAGTCGAGCCGAGTCGAACCTTAATGAGTCGAGCTCATAAGCGACTTATTTCGTTTAACAATGCTGCTCTCAATGAAATACCAGCAAATTAAAATACTAGGTTTCCTACGTAAAACATCTGACGATTAAATTAGTCCTCTATTTCTTATGTGATGTGGAATAATAGAAACACACAAACACACACATACAAAAACGTAGTATCCATACTTCCTCATTTTATACCACTTTGCTACTCAAAACCCCGCCAATACAAGGAAACATCCTCTATGTAAAAAAAATGTTATTTCTCTCGAGATTTCTCGTTAATTGTGTAGATACGAAATCTCTGAATATCAGGATCTTTAATTTTAGATAAAGTTATCTTTCTTGTGAGATCTTGCTTTCATATTTTTCTAACCGTAGGGCCTCTCACGTTTGTCTTAACGACCTAATTACTTCATTTAGTAACTCGAGTCACACTCAGTTTGACTTTGCCATAACTTTAATCTAGGTCTTAATAGCTCGACCTCCTCGCAATCTACCCTCCTAGTCCATCCTTTGTCCAAACTCTAGACTCAACCTCTCAAACAGATTTGACTCTAAATATAAATTGCTTTACACTAGCTCGGAAGAAAGACCGAGCTCATCATACCATATCAGAAGTAAATTAAGAAATTATTGATTTAATAACCTTTAGACAATCTCACAATAAACTTACTATTTTTATCTTATTGCTATTGATTAGTAGTATTCATCCTACATGTGTCTGAATGCACAAATAGATTTTTCACTATTGAATCATAAGGGGCACATCTACTCACACGAGTACATACCGATCAAACAATAAGAAACAATGTGACTGCATTGCACACTTGTAGGGTGAAATACACCAACAGATTTTCAATTTATCACCATAAAAGAACAATGTTTTACAGCCATACTTGAGGCTTTGACCAATTTGCCATTTTTTACCTTTGGTTTAAACTTGAAACGTGAAAGATTATTTACTTTGGTTTTTCCCTCTTTTTGCCAAATCATTCAATATGTAATTGCTTCATTTATTTATTTTCTAATTCTGGGTTGAGTATAATTGGAATGACAACAATTGACATGGTTCTATTATATATATAAGCCCTTTTACTTATACATCTTCAATTGTGTTGTGTAAGGGTGCATGTTCAATTATTAGCAGATAATGACATCCAATACAATTGTGCTTATCCATCCAGCTATGTGTGGCACTCATGTTGTACAATTATGATAAAAATTGCTTTTGCAAGTTTGTATTTGGACACAAATACTAGTTGGTACTTGGCTTAGGCCCATGATCACATGTGGCAAATCTTGGAAGTTGGAACATTGAAAAGCTAGTTGTTATGTTAGTTTTCCAATCTCTACTTGGTAGATACATTATGACTAAAAAGTTCATTGATATAATAAAATTTATTCCGCAAAATAATTATTAAGTCAATTGAAATAAACATCTCGCTTATGTTTTTTGTTTAATGCTACTTCAGGTGGATTTCACCCTACACAATCCTTATAAATGTGGTAAAACTAAGGGTATGTGGAAAAATAGGTTGAAGTCTTGACCGAAAAATAGTAGGTGTTATAATTGTGGTGAAATTGGTCATTACATGAATGATTGCCATAATCCAAAGCAAAACCAGCATAATGATCATGCGAATATGGCATCTAGTAGTGAAAACCATGGTGATGTAGAAATGCTGGAAATTTGGCCCAACTCTCAGGCCCGTGGACATCTCGGCCCACTCCCGACTTGGGCCTGGCCCTTACCCGGTTTAATTAAAGCCGTTGGATTTGGGGATTAAATCCCAACCACTCACTACACCCTAAATACCCTATCTCTATCTCTTGACGATAGATCTCTAACTCTCTTATCTGTTCGTTGTGCCCTTTCTCTCTCTGTGAGTGAAAAATCCCGAGTGATTTCTTGTCCTCTCCTTTTGTTTTTCGCGACCTCTGGAGTGTGTGAGAGGTAAGTGTTGTCGTGAGAGCCGTTGAGCCACCGGAGTGCCGCCGCTGAGCCGCCGTTGTCGCCTCCTTTGCTCGTCGGTCAGAGGACCTTTCGTGGTGCCTCGGTGACTCCGTGTGCGGAGGAGAGTGCCTGGCGACGGGGCTAGGCTAGTGCTGGGCTCGTGGGTAAGGTGCAGCCCGGGGTGCGGGCTGAGGAATCGGGGTCGCCGTTCGTTGACCACCACTGAGCCGTGACTGAGCCAAGGGTGCTGGAAAGAAGAACTATCTGAGCGCGGGAGATTTCGTGTCTTCAAATCCGGCGAGATTCCGGCAAACAAAAGGGAGATTTGTTCTTTCCCTTTTATTTCTTACTTTCAGCCCTTTATTGTTGTTCATTTCATTAGGTTTGTTGTGATTCACCTTTGTGTTGTGATTTGCAGGCTGAAAACGGGCCCGAAAGAGACGACTAAGAATCAGCCCAGGCCCGAAAGTGAGCTGTCCGGTGGCCTGTAGACAAGCAGCACCTCTGCGAGCTTGAAAGGGGCTGCGAGCGGGTCGGTCGAGTTCAAGATGAAGCTTCCGCTGCCAATGACGAGAGCGGTGCGACCGGGACGGCCACACAACATGTTTTTTGTTTAATGCTACTTCAGGTGGATTTCACCCTACACAATCCTTATAAATGTGGTATAGTTATAAGTTTTTCACTGTTGGATCAATATACATCCATGTGTGTATTAATCAAACAACGAAAATTAAATGATTAACATGATGAGATATGATTGGTATTCAAAAAAAAAAAAAAACTAATTTTACCAAACGAGTTTTAATTATAGAAAATTAAAATAGTTGTTGTATTAGAAATATAATCGATCTTATTTAAAAATCTCATTTTACAGAATGAGACTTACTCAAAGAAAAAAAAAACTTACAAACTAACTAATTAATTTATATATTAATTTGTGATTACTAGCTAACAGACTTTCTAATTAACTCTTTCTAGTTCCACATAAGATTCTAAATCTATGAGCCATATTAGGCACGAGATTGCACTGAAATTTCCTTGCATTGAAAGTTGGTTGGTCTAGGATTCAAAGCCCCATAGTATATATCTTAGTAGCTCGTTGCTATAAATTAAAAAAATTAATATGATCCAGATTATGTGTACACATACATTTGTTGAACAAGGTATATATTCAGAAATAAATCTCCAGGTAAATTTTTCTGTACTTATAAGATAGTAATGATTATTAAGATATTGTGATATGTAAAATGACAAAATTATTATCCATTATATTATTATATAGCATATCTATACTATTGATCTCTAATCCTTATGCNATACAACGGGCATGACTACGAGTAAAATCAATAATATTATCGGAGTAACAAATATAATAGTATATATAAATTTAAATATGAGTATGAAAAAAGTAAAATTAAAAAAAAAAATGGATAACTATCCCCCAACCTTTCACTAAGATTAAAACAAGGCTACCAATTTTAATATTTAATTTTTAAGCCAAGAATTATCTTGTTTTTTCTTTATTGATAGATGTTTTGTTCAATATTTTTCAATATTTGACTTGCATTTGTAATATACAACTGTAATACAGATGTTATTGTCATAAATTCGATATCAAATGTATTAATATCAAAATTAATGGGTGACTAACCAGATATGTACTTAATTCATTTATTTAGTGTACGAAAAATTTAACAAAATCCAATGTCATTTCATATAAAATCAAGCTCCATTTAACTATCTGTAACTACAGCGTACGGACTCCAGCGTGCCCAAACTTCGATGAAAGCTTAATTATAAAAAAATAAGTATAGTGAAGTAAATAATCACTCATTAAATGGGTGCAGTCAAATCATTGACTGCCGAGCACAAAACCAGCCAATAATATACGGACACATGGCGAATGCAAAGCTGTATTGTTAAATTACAAGACAGGTCGTGCTGTCGTACGGTGGTGTAGTGCACCTGCGCAATAGCAACGGCCGATTTAGATATTTTCAAACCCCTCCTTGTAAAACGTGCCTAGCTTAGTTTGTTCGCTGCTTGATATAATGAATCGAGCGTTATAGTTAATAAGTTTGAACTAGGCTTGATAAAGCTTATTAGAACTCGAAATAAATATTATATAATTTTTTTGTAGTTTGGCTCGTTAAGTTGGAGTTCGGACTCGACATTTTTTGTTGAGTTAAGTTGAGCCGAGTTCTACACCTTTATCAAGACGGCTCTTGTTAAGTCGAACGAGACAGTAAACTAATTTAAGTTGTGCAAGACAAGGCTAATTATTTTAAAAACTTGAAAGATTACGTAAGACTCAGAATTTATCAAGTATAACGAGCCTTAAATGAACAAAAATCGTTTGATAAACGAGTCAAATCAAGTATGAGTTTTAACGAGCGGAACTCATGGGCCTTAAAATGTAATCAACCTTTTTCCCTTAATTAAGAGAATTAGGCATTATTTATTTATAAAGGATAGAAACTAAGGATAAAAAAAGTCTATGAAAATAAATTAATGCTAAAATTCCTCACACTAGCTATCTCCTGGTTCTGTGAAATAGCAATTGGGCCTAAAGCGAATTTGTACAAGTGAAATTTAACTGGGATTATGCTATAGCATTTAGACCCTAAATAGTCTATCAGACATTCTTGGTCACTTTCGTCCATTCTATATTTTCTTCATGTGGACAATTTGAAATACACAATTTCACCTTAGTTTAAAACATCAAAATCTGGGTCTGCTTAATGGCCAGTATTTCTGCTTAAAAGGCTTTTATCATTTAGTTTGGGCCCATGTAATTTTTCATGCGGAGTTTAGATTCATTCTATTTACATTGGGTTGAATAAAAATTGTAAACAAGACAATTTGGATAGAGCCCAATCTATATGAAGCCCATACTACCATTAAAATGCAATGTCATGATGAGCAACGCATTGCTTTTTGACTATTTAGTTTTAATTTATGCTAATTTTCGAAGACCACATCAAGTATTCAAAAATCGAAATTCTTTTTTCTTGTTTTTTTTCTTTTCCAAATCCATAATTTAGAATTAAACTNNAAATTTGACTTTACTACCAGATTCATTTTTCATAATTTCGTGAGCTGTCTTGTTATATTACGTTATTTTTTTTTATAAAGTCATATCTGATCTTGCATTTGTATATTAAGGTTTTGGACTGACTTAAAAGTTAAAATCAAAGGCTGCAGTAGTTTATTTAAGGCAGTTTAATACGTAAATTAAATAATGAAGGGAAATTTAATGGTCCTGTACCCAAAAGAAATTTAATGGTCGAATAGTTGACTTCTGACCTTAGGATTTGGCTGCATTGAACATGCACTTGAATTGTGATATCCCGCCCACTTATTTAGGTCGTTTTTATTAATCTCGTGTCAAACAGGACACTAACATCGACATCTTTTTTAAATGATTTATTAATTGAATTATTTTATATTTAGGTCTTGATTATTATATTACATTTGATAACCGTATTAGCGAAAAATCGTATTACATTTGATTGTTCACGAGCTATTTATATGATCTAATACTATATAAAAATAAATTAAAAAACTTATCCAATCTCAGCACGTAAATAAATAATATTTTTTTGGTACACGTAAATAATAGTATTTGATTTAACTATTATGTTTCATATAGCATTTTATGATGTACGGCAATGCCCATGTTCAACATGCAATACAAAATTCGAGACACCCTAGCATGACGGGGCGCTTTGAGCTTGGGTATATTAGTTTTTCTTCTTCGTTTTTCCAAACAAATGTATATCTAATAGCAACATTAAATTTCAATTCAAAAAACCACTTTCCATTCAACACTACTAAAAGCGTAAACAAGTTAAGTTCATCTAGAGCTTGAACTTAGTTTGGCTTGTTATAATCTCGAGCCCAACTCAAGTTGGATCCGGGATCAATGGGTTTAAACTAGATTGATTTATCAATATTATTGAATTGAACTCTAACTTTAAAAAACCAGATTAAAATCATACCAAATTGTGTTGAGGAAGAAACAATTCATTTCGTTTAACGAAGTTTTTTCTACAAAACAAAAATGTTTGTCTTATTTGGAGTGATGTAGAGTAGAAATTAAAGATGGAACTAGAGCTGCAAACGAGTTAAGTTGAGCATGAACCTTGAATTTTTCACTTCACTGCTCAAGTTTGACGAGCCATGTAAATGGTGTTTGACTCTACTCGTGAAAAACATAAGAATGCTCGAGCTCGACTTGATGGTCGACATGACATGAGTTCAGATTGAAATTTTAACAACTAAATTGTAAATATAAAAATACTAATTTTAACCTAAATAGACAAATTTTGGCCTTAGTATTGTAAATTATAATATTGATAACTAAACTATATTGGGTAATTATGTAAACAAAAGTCAAGCGGATCATCGAGCTTACGAGCATCTAGAAATGATGCAGGCTTGACTCGTTTGCTTGATAGAACTACTCGAGCTTGACGGCTCGAGTTTAACCGAGCTCAATTCGAAGATTGACTCAAGTGCTCGTGAGTCAGTTCGGTTGCAACCCTAGTTGGGACTAATAAGACTAGACATGGCCACGGGTCAACCGGGCCATTGACCCGGCCCGGTCAAATCCGTTGACCACCGGTCTGGGACTGGCCCGGATTTCATACGGGCCGTGTAAGGGTCATTCATTTCATGATCCGTCCAGGCGGGTCCGGGTCGGGTCGAGTCGATGACCTCCTTTCCTATTTTTTTTTTTTTTTTCTATTGTTTTTTCAAAAAAGTCCGGACCCGGCCCGGACACGACCCAACCCAGACACGACCCGACACGAGTATAGGTCTGTGCCGGTTCAGGGTCAATGTTTTCGAGCCCGGCAACCCGGCCTGGGGTTTTGGCCGTGTCTAAATAAGACATGTTCCAACAGGAAGTTAGGCGTGTATGGATAGCAGTACTACTACCGTGCGTCCTGGCACACCTTCCTGACACACCTAGCAAAGTGTGCCAGGACAGTTTAAAATGAACATGTTTTGTTACAAAAAGAACATGTACAAACATGCACCTAAGTATTTGCGGTATGGATAGGATAAGAATTAATGCACTTTTTTTTCGGTACAAAGAATTAATGCACTTCAATTGAAATGGAAATATAGTCCCATCACTTTGATGAGTTTTTGATTATTTATGTGTATTATTTTTTTTTAATTATGTTACTTTTTAACAAATAGAATTCACAAAATTACGTTGCTCCAAAAATGGAAATAGTAAAAATAAATAAAAGTTAAAAGCAAATAACGGAATTAATTTTTTATTATTTTTCATCCTTGTTCCGATTCTTTTTCTGAATCTAGTGGAAATTAGATAATCATACAACCATAATCTAGTGGAAATTAGATAGTCATACAACCAATCTTTGAAATTTACGAAATTAATTTTTTTTAAAAAAAATCAAAATTACCGCCGGCAGGTAATTTCGGATCCGATCCAGGCGGCGTCCCGGGGCACAAGCTGCCCTTGCGCCACCACAATCGACTTGTAGATCTCGACGATCATCCGCTCGTCGTACTCCTTCAGCGGCCGCACGCCGAATCCCGCGGCCGGGTACCCACCATACCCGCCGCCGACCGCCGCCGAGTTGGCGATCTTCATCATCATGCCGACGTAGGCGTCCCGCAGCCCGAGGAGGAGCTTCTTCGGCGAGAACCGGACCCTCAGCCTCAGCCGCGGCAACAGCTTGATCCGCCAGAAGCGCCGCCGCCTCGCGGGTCTGTCGCCGCCGTCGGAGCCCAGCCGGATCACGCGGACCTTCCGATTCCGGCCGCCGCTCAGCCGCTCGTAGGCTTTCCGCCGCCAGTATCCTCTGATTCCTCTGTACACGGCGGTGGAGATCCCCTCCATTTTTCTATTTTGTGTCTATTTTCCGGTGGGTTGAAATTGTGTATTTTTTAACTGGATTTTTTTTTTTTTTAAAAANTATCTCTGCACTAGTGGTTTTGTATATTGGGGAGAAATGGGATTTTCATGTTGGGTGGGAAAAAAAGAGGTGGGAGTTTTGAGGTGATAAAGAGTATGATATATATAAGACAACTAATCGGTTCGATATATAGATATATTTTTTTCATTAAATATGCATAGTTTTTCGAATGTCATAATATTAAAATATAATGTAAATTAAATTATAACATTTCACAACATAATTATAATTATGTACTTGTCCGAAAAGTATAACAAGTCTAATTGCTATATTGTCTCATCATAAAATTTGTGTAACAAAGATTGTGGTGTTACGTCATCTAATCACCATACAATCATAAATTTATTGAAAAACATAACGAAATTATATTTGTATTATTAAATAACATACTAACATTACATATTTTGATTTTTACTGATTACTAAAATATGATATTTTGAATATAAAATTGTATATATTTATTGAAATACTATGAATGTCCAACTAATATAACAAATACATATCAATATATTATTAACTGGGTGGGAAGGTGAGTAATGAATGCAGGGGTGGTCTTTGAGCCACTCTTGGTGGGAAATGATAAATGAATGCACAAAAAAACTAATATCCAACTATTTTTCCTTTTTCTTCTATATATTTTATTTTTGTTGTTTTGTTGGATAAAAAGGTGTGGAATTTTTTTCCAAATGCATAATTAGGATACGGTTGACCTTTGACAAAAGTTTGTGCTGCCTTTCGGTCCTTTTCCCTTTCTTGGATTCAGAAGAATTGACTGAAATAAATGGATTTTATTTATTCATTTATTATTTAAACAAGAAAATAAGTTGAATCCTGTCTATAGTTCACTTTCACATTAATTTGTTTTCCCAAATTTCATGTAGCACGAGTTAATGCATGTGCTGAAGTTTGATTCACACTTGTCATAGACATTTGACTTTAATGATAGAGATGGTGTTTACAATCTGCCATCAAAATATTTGTTAGCACAGAAAAAATTGTTGCCAACTTCATCCTACATCAAGTAATTAGTTAAGGTAGGCTATTTTCTTACTCTTAATATATTTTGATTGGTTTTAAAAATAGATTTAATTTAGTATGACTTTAAATTAACTTATAGTTTTTTTCGTACACATTATATATCTATTGTATGTTTTTATACCGCCTAATAATTAGATAATCTTACATTTTCAATATAAATATACTATATACATTTTAGAAGCTACAAATATGGTGATATTTGTCTCATTAGTTAGAAAGATCACACACGCAATTAGCAAAGGAAGTTGTAATTGTTCTCCTATTATATATGGTATACGCGTACAAGATGAATAATACAGCTTTTTTAAAGGACCCAGTGGACAATTAATAAGAGTTGTGGATGTGTTGGTGGGGCAATAAATTATGATATTTTGGGAACACTACAGAAAAAATGACATATTTCAATAGAAAATCACACGTATTCAAACAAAATTTTTAATTATTCCGTTGGAATGAGTTTTTATTGGAATTTAGATGAAATTTTATCATTCTAACGACCATTATTCCAACGGTTTTTTACTGTAAGAATTTTCTCTAGATTATACAATTTCTGTTAGAATTTTTATTTTCACCGATATTTCAACCGGTAGAAAATGTATCGTTGGAATCGTCAAAATCCAACGGGATATTTTATTTGTTGGAATTTCTGTTGGAATTCATTGGAAAATTCCAACATAAATAATAGCATTGGAATATCCAATGAAATTGCCCTTAGAATTTCATTGGAATATTTTTCTGTTGAAATTTTTCATTAAAATTATATCACTTTGTTGTAGTGTAATCTTTGGGGCCAAAACTATAATAAACATGCACTACAAAAAAATTGTTATATTCCAACGGAAAATTTTATTGTAATATATTCCAATAAAATTCCAATGGTATAGTTTCCGTTGGAATGATTCCAACGAAAATATTCCGTTGGAATGTATTTTTCATTGGAATTTGATGATTCCAACGGCTATATTTCCAACGGCTTTTCAGTGTAGGAGTTTATATTGGAATATACAAATTCCGTTGGAATTTTTATTTTCACCCCCATTGAAATTGTCAAAATCCAATGAAAATTCCAATGAAAAACTCATTCCAACGAAATATTTTTGTTGGAATTTCTGTTGGAATCCATTGAAAGAATTCCAACGGAAATAATAGCATTAAAATATCCATTACAATTGTCGTTAAAATTTTATTGAAATATATTTTCGTTGGAATTTCATCTTTTTCTTGTAGTGATCCATACAATTAGTGGTCCACAAATAATTTCATCGGATACACAGTTTATTTTTAGATGTACTGCTGCATTGAGTTCAATAGCTACTTATATTCATTTTCTCATATATTGCATACCATGCTTTGTTAAAATACCCTCTACATAAAAATGAAAATCAAACATGTGAATAAGTAGATAACATTATGTAAGATTTTAAAAGTCTAAACCAGCCGAGCTCGAGCTAGCTTTTAAAGAGTCGATGATTAATTAACTAAACAAGCTTTCAACAAGCGCTCAAAAATAGCCCATAAACGACTTCTTTTATTTAACAAATCTATATACGAATAGGATATACGCGACTCGATTTTTCCAACTATTATGATTGGTTTTTAGCTTTTTTTATTATTATTATTATTATTATTATTATTTTATTAGGAAATCAATTAAATTGTATGTAGGATATGAACAGCATAAAGATTGTAAAACCTGAACAATTATAAATCTATTTTACAAATAAAAAGTGACATATTTTAATTCAATACTAGGAAATCAATTAAATTATATGTAGGATATGAAAGTAATTTTGACTACAAAAAAAGCTGATTTATGGGGCATTTCAATAATTTCACAGATTTTTCAAAATAAACAAAAAAGAAAAATAAAACCACTAAAGTTGACCCCACTACTACATGCATTCTTTCGCTCTCTCTTTAAGTCAACCATCCATTTATTTGTTTATATTTATTTATATTTATCTCTCCATCTCCTTTTGGACCTTGCTCTACTCACTCTGTACATATTGAAACACAAGAATTAACACACTTACACACACCACAAAGTGTCGGCCTTGTATGGGTAAAAAAAAAGTCCCATGTTATCATTACCAGTTTGTATGTGCCCACCTTACTATTTCCTCATATTTGCACTTCATTAGAGAAAATATACAAAAATAAAGAAAGACAAAAACAATTACTGGCTGCCTGGTAATAAATTAAGAGGATTTAATCGTAAGGGAATCTGGGAAGAGAATCGATTTTAAAGCTATGCTTGATCATGCTCTGTTCAACTTACGCCAACAAAAACCAGGTGCACTCTAATGCTTCATTTGTTATTAATCACTTCTTGTTTATTCTGTTGTCTGACTATATGTTCATCACCAATAAAAGGAAAGTGAACAAAGGTGTGATCTTGTGATATTTGCTGGGAAAAAGAGCGAGAAAATAGCTTCAGGCTGCTTGAACCTTTCATCCCCCGCCATGTCCTCGCCGCCGGCGTTAGCATCGAGATCCTCAAGGCTTTCGGAGAGCCTTCGAGGGGTGGCTCCCTCGACGGCATCACGTTTCGCTCCAATTTGACTTTCTTGCGGAGTTCGCTGCGGGACTTTGCCAACCAAGCTTCCGCCACCGATCGTCCGCTCATGTCCGGCGCCGCTCGGACTCCGCCTTTCGCGTAGCAGGCAAAATATCGGAGTTCACGCATCTACCTCTACCGCCGAGCTCGAACTCCTTCTGCATGGACGAGGAACAAATGGCGTTTTTGGATTGTACAGTATTTGCAGGTACAACTCGAAGGAATGTAAGAATTTCTTCTGATTGTACATGTGTTGTGATGGAGGATGGGTCACGATGAAGGATGGGTCAAGCCAGTGCATGGTAAAAAGGACGGGCTTCATGAGTGGTTACAGTGGCCCGGCCATTTGTGCGCCGTCGTGTCTTCCCTGAATGTTTGCCTCCTCAGTCCACGGGCCCGCAAGACGGTTAATCGTGCTTATTGTTCTCCTCACGCTACTGTGGCAGATGAAACGGGAATGAAAGTAGTACCAGAGGCCCTTTTTTATGAATGCAAAGACAACTGTTTTTTATTGCTCTTCATTTTTATTTTTATTTTTTTTGAAAAATATGTGAAATTATTGAAATGCCCTTAAAAATCAGCTATTTGTAGTTAAAATTACTTTTATACCCGGATTAGAGGACAATTTGACAAACCCGTATAGTTTAGGTGATAGTTTGTAAAAAATTAAAGTTTATATAGTGATGCGTAAAAATCGTTATAATTCGGATGACAAAAAATTTTTTTCTCGAAAAAAAATGATGACACCATTAGTCACTCCATCAGTTACTATATAATGGTTGCGTAGAATGACGGTATAAAGTGCTTGGAGCGGCTACGCACATGCACGAAGCCTCCAGGCTCCAGCTCAGCTCTTTCATTATATTATAATATAAAATAATAAAAACACGGTCACTCATGTACAAAATACAACACTTCACACCAATTTTTTTTCCCATTTACACAACTTCACTTTACTCAATTTCATCAGAAAAATGCCTCAAATCGCCTCAAATGTCTTCTTCCTCCTCTCACTAATCCTCACTCCTTACAATCTCTCTTCAGCAATGACGACAATCTCAGCCGTCACCAAAGATCAAATCGCCTGCACAACTTGTTCATCTTGCGAAAATCCCTGCCAGCCGATCTTATCTCCACCGCCGCCGCCGGTGCCGTCTCCTCCGCCGCCGCCGTCGGGTCCCAACTGTCCTCCGCCGCCTTCCCCACCCAGCGGAGGCGGCTGTAGCGGCGGTTGCTACTTCTCGCCACCGCCTCCGGCGCAGCCCGCCGCCAGCTATCCCCCACCGTACGGCGGCGGCGGCGGTGGAGGCGGCGTATACTACCCACCGACTATTCCCGGCGTTTTTCCGACCCCGCCGCCGCCGAACCCGATTGTGCCGTATTTCCCTTATTACTACTACAACCCTCCGCCCCCATCCGCCGCTGGCTCCCCCTCGCGGCCGTTGCACATTATTACTTCTCTTTTAGCCATAATTTATTTTGTCCTTTTTCTTTAGCTCCAAATAACATTGAAATTAGATATATAATTAAAAAAATAATCATTCTGTAATTTCGAGATTTATAAATTTTCAGGTAAAATTTACATTTGTGCTGCAGAGGTACAGAGACATTTGTTTCCCAACAACAGTATGAAGAAGACTGCAAATTCAAGTGAAGCTTAGAAAGTTTTCAGTATTTATCTATGTAATAACTTTCTCTGTGACATTCCTTCTTAATTTCCTTTTTTTTTTTTTTAACTGCATTTTCCTGTCGAATTTATTGTTCATAATACATTCAACAATTGGTTTAATCTATTCATGTAGTCGAATGGAAATGTTGGATCGTGTATGGTATGAGATGTTGTTTTAGTGAACTATTTTCTTTCTCAATTGTAGTCTTTGTGTAATGTCTATGCTTAAATTTTACATAAAGTGCTCGGATTACAAAAATTGTGCTTTTGTATAAAGCAATGTGGATTTTTGCCTTTAGTGATATGGATGTCGGATAGGAATAGGAGGATTCGACGATTGAAAAAAGTGGTGGGCTAAATTAGTGGGACCACAAGCGGTGGGCTGGGGCTGGACGGCACTTAGGAACGTAAGTGGTTGAGAAATAGAAGAAGAATTTGGTGGTATTTTAATGATATAATAGAGATTCTTTTTTCTGACTTTATTATAGCTTTTACCCTTGTGCACATGCACCCTTGTCTTTTTTCCACCCTTTCTCTACAGAAAAGAAAATCAGGGAAAGATTGAAGCTATTGTGTAATGCATGCATACATTATATGTAGTTATTCATAAATTGGTGTACTAGCATTTGTTCAAAGTGTATATATAGTAATGTATGTGTCAATATATAATTTGCGAATAATTATAAATAGTTTCATAAGTCAGTGTTATTCGATGACACTGTAGCAAAACCGTTATGTAATGACTGTATTGAGTCGTGCCTACACGATTTAAGTGCTACCTCCTAAAATCTGTATGGGTATTTTCAGCTAAGAATGAGAGAATTAGGTGGAAATTGAATATTTTTTGGTATTGTTATACATCTTTCTTTATCTGCCTACTTTTATTTCAGCTCTTTCATTCAACACAACATTTATGAGGTCGTTGTCTTGTTCGATGAAATGTTTTGTATTTCCTTTTGGCTTTTGACGGAATCCAACATATATGGGCTACATACCTAGACGACTATGTCGATTGATAGATTCCTAATGCCGATTTGCGATCATTTGTGTCGATGGATGTCTCATTTTCAAAAGCATAATTGTCACGTGTTTATACATGCAATCTGTCCCGACACGTGTCTATAAATTATGCTCTTAGATTACATAACTCGTTTTGTACCATTTTTACGTTCTTGTTTAGGGTTTGTTTAAAACCGATCATACCGAGGGAACCACCTAAAAAATTATCATTCATGTATCAAATGCTCACACCAATATAAATGCATCATTCATGTATACACAATCCTGATAATTCTCTAGTAAATCACTACAAAAGATGCTCAATAAGTCGTTATAAAGGATAATAACCGAACTATGGATTAACAATTCCGAACTATGGATTAACAGTTCGCTACAAATACGCTCAATAATTTGCTAGGTACCTATCTTGAGAGGACTAAAGATCTATGACTCAATTAGGAGAGGACTGTGACTCCATTCGATTTTGTGTACGATAAGAACCCAACTCTATCATTTCCTTTTTTCTTTTGTAAGAAACGGGAAGAAAACGGATGCAGTTTCATGCACGTGAAGCACACCATAACCGGGTGAGCCTAGATGTATCTAATGATGTTTCATCTCAAAACCAATTGGTGGAAGGAAGAGTAGTTCACTAGACTTATAAGTTAGGCCTATTTTCCCTGTATAAACGATGTGGGACAACTCAAAAGTGATATTCTGACACACCCCCTCACTTGTGAGCCATTCATACGAGGTCAAGCCCAATCGGGCTGGATAACGGGTACGTCATCGCACGGTCCCACGTAGAACTGACTCTGATACCATATAAGAAATGGAAGAAAAACAGGTGCAGTCCAATGCACGTGAAGCATACCATAACAGACGAAACCTAGATGTACTTGATGAGGTTCAACCAATACATTTTTTTTTCCTTTTTGTTGTCAATTCGATTCACGGGTTGGAACCTCACTAAGTACATCTAGGCTTATCCTGTTATGGTGCGCTTTACGTAATAGAACCGCACTCGTTTTTCTCCCATTTGTTACATTTTTTTTTTCTTTTTTGTTGTCAATTTGAGTCGACACTCATTTTTCAAAAGCGTTATACTTATTTCAATTTGATGGCGTCGAATTATACTTGCCTTATTGTTGAACATTATACTTGCTTCGATTCGACCCTATCATTCAACGTTATACCTTGCATTGAATTATACTTGCTCTATCATTCGATTCGATGGCGTCATGGTTCTACGCTCATTTTTCAAAAAACGTTATACTTGACTCATTTTTTCAAAAAACGTTATACTTGACCTATCATTCGATTCGATGGCATCATGTAATCCATATAACCTCATGATTCGAGGCTATTTTTCAAAAAACATTATACTTGACCTATTATTCGATTCGATGACGTCATATAATCCATATAACCGATTTCATTTAGTATAAATTTAACAGCTTTTGATTGACTATATAGCCAACTCCATATTTAATAAAATTTTAACAGAAGTTGTGTTTTATACTACACTTCTATTTTGAATGCCAAACAATTTATTTTTATTTTTTATTTTTTTCATTAATTCAAAAAAATATATAGAGAAAAAAATATATAGAGAAATGCTATCATCCCGTTACGAAATAGTTTCTTGTATTTTATAACCGTAGATATACATGTCTACAGTTCAAAAATACAACATATATCTACAGTTAAAAAATACAACGAAAATATTCCGACGGAATAGTAACATTCTCCTAATATATATGTTGCAATCTCATTGATCATTTTTCTTACTTCTTTCTCAACGTGAACACTTGAGTATATATAGAGTATAGCGTATACAAATCAGGAAGGATAAAAAGGAGAATCTAATTACTAGTATATTATACCAACTTATAATTCAGACATATTGAACAGGTACCTAGTTCTCAATAAACCACCCCTTACGACTCATTACAATAGTCACATTCCAACTCCAGTCAATCAAACAAAACGACATAATAAACAACAAGTGTCCTCAACCATCAGTCTCACCAATATTCACCGCGAAGCTCTCTCAGTACCCTTCCATGTGGAGAATCCGGATCTCCCCTAACCGCATTCCATCGGAAAATCTCCGCCGCCCTTCTGAGCGAATCCTCAGCCGTGTCCAGCTGTTCCGGCCGCCACACCACAAATCCCGTCCCCTCTTTCCCCACGATCTCGTTCTGTACAGTTCCATCCGTTGCTCGGGTAATCGGCTTCCTCGTGTCGGCTATCTCGATTTCCGATAATGCGGATGCTTTGTGGTGCTTGAAGTACTCCACGTTGTCCTCCTCCTGCCTTTTCCGGTCAGTATCCGCCGGCGCCGGCGCCTCCGGCCCGGCGGCGCAGACGATATCGCCGGAATTTGTGGAGATCCGGCGTTTCTGCTGTAGGATAGGATCGGTTTGTGGCCCGATTCCGGGGTGTTCGATTTTTGGAGTGGATGCGATTGGTGATTTTGGGGGGACGTAAGGCTGGTGGTCCTTGGCGACGGTAGCTTCGTCCTTAGGGTGGCGGCGTTTTTCGTCCTCTATTGCTTCCGTTGGGTACACCTCCTTGAATATTGTGTATATATATATATATATATATATATATAAGCGAGAGTTGGTTTTTTCATAGAATAAGACAAAAGGAAGGAGGCCACCGAGCTCCAACCCTCAACAATTAACCAATCGAGCCGAGCTTGGTCATTAAATAATAAATTAATGAGCATGAAATCATCATCTCGTTAAATTTGAGCTCGAGCTCTTAACTATCTAAGCCAAGTGACTCGGCTGTTAAATAAATCAGCCTAAAATCAAGCTCGAGCTTTAAATAAATGAGCCTGAAATCGAGTCCGAGTTCTTAATCCGAGCCGAGCTTGGCTGCCTCGAGCTCGTTTATCACTAACAAGCAGATACGAATTTTAACAAGTCAAATTACAAATAATTACATTAAAATTCTCTTTTCGAATCTTATCGCTGAGCTCACCAAACGAGCTTTAAATGAACTCGAGATCGACTCGTTTGATAGCCGAGCCGAACCTAAACCTTAACTTGCCGAGGAGTCGAACCAAGACTCATTTAAATTAAACGCACTAAAGAATAAAAAAAGTTTGTCATGAGTTAGTAACTTACATCGTGATCCACCGCGTGCTCGGCGGGATCCGCTGTACGCCCGGTGGTGGTGGTGCAGCCAAGCCGTTGAGTCAGATGGTGTTTTTGGCTGCCGGAGAGTATGAGGCGGTTGAGTCTTGCCGCGGCGATTGCTAATCTGGACTGCATTTGTGTGTGTGTGTTTTTCTCTCAATCTTGCGTTGACTTTGGAAGTCGTCAAGTGATGAAGGATTAGCATATATGGATTTTGGAGGGAGGTGAGTGATAATTGCTGGCGTTTGTTTTGGGTGACGCGTGGCGGGGCGGTACACGTGGCAGATTTTTCCACGAGCTGCTGGACGCTTCGAGTTAATTTTATCATTTTCTTTCAAAAGATAACTTTTCTTTTTCCCACTTTCTTTTCTTCTTTTGGGGTTTTTGGTGCCTGGATTAAATCGAATGACCTAGAAGCCCCATGAAGTTTGGCTACCTTGCCAATTCAGGCCACACTTTCACTCAAAACGAGGTGTTTTTTATTTATAAAAGTTAATTTAAAAAAGTAATATAATTAATTGTTATTAGAATTTTAAATTTATATTAAAATAATATTTAAGATAAAATAATTAAAGTTAATTTGATGTAAAAACATATGTGAGATGAAGTGAAATAATGATTAACTAAAATTATGTGAATTAATTAATAGTGAATTAAAGTTGATGTGATAAGTAAGAATGACGGTTGATATTATTTAATTAAATTGATAAAATTAAAGATAATAGAGTTGAGTTATTTAATTTTGTGAATTAAGTATGAATTGAAATAATTTATCACAATATCTTGTTTGAGAGCTAGTATGTCTGGTTTAGGTAGGCTCAAACAAACACACTCTCAACTTCGCTAAACTAAATTCATGTTTTATTTATAGATTTATCTACAACCCTGTCACGAAATGATTACGCGAGGGATTTTAGCCATCAGATAAAATAACTGTAGACAATAATTGTATATTTGATGACTAAAATCCTTCACGTAATTATTCCGTGACAGGACTGTAAACAAATCCTTTATTTTATTTATTTATTTATTTATTTGTTTTCTTCATCTATTTTTGACTATTTTTTTTAAATATAAGAACACAATTGGATATAAAATTTTTCAATTCATAGTCAATTCAATTCAAAATTTAAGTCAAATTTAATCTAACCCGACTATTCTCAATATTATCAATATAATTAATAATATAAATCAATTATTCTTACATTTTAAACTATTCATCCATTAATATTATTTTAACTAATTATCATTTTATATTATCTCTTTTTCAATTTTACGTCAAATCAATTTTAAGTATTTTATTTTAAATATTATTTTAATATAATTTAAAAAACTACTAACGATTAAACATACCATATTTCTTAATCCAATTAACCCTTAATAACATAAATTTTTTTGAGTGGAAATTTTTATTTCCACGTCCTAAATATTGTTAGAACTTCATAACAGTTAATTGCCCTTGCCCAATCACAATACGAATCACCTTTGCATCTATACATCAACAGTACAGAAGTGAAAGAAAGCCAACCGAGGACATCCATTAGAGCCAAACATATCAGTCCAACACATTAGAGCTTATCTTTCTGATTCCAAATCGTTCTGCAGCCGCAAGCGTAATATAGCAAACGAGAGAAAGAAACCACAAAATGGAGAAGTTATCCTCTGTGGCGAAGACGCTTGCACCTTCTCCAATCCAACAGCTTTCATTCTTAGCTCAGAGGTGCAACGCTATCAACCTCGCCGAGGGCTTTCCCGATTTTCCCGCTCCTCCGCACGTCAAAAACGCCGCCGTCGCCGCCATCAACTCCGACTTCAATCAGTACAGGTTCACCTATTGTATAGCAAAATCGCCTTCGTTTTCTTATTTAGAGTAGCTCGGCTTAATTAATGCCGGAAATGTTTTAATTGTTTTTTTTTTTTAGTTTATTTTCCTGTTTTCTGAAGGCATGTGCAGGGAATTTGTGATTTCGTGGCAGAGAACATGAAGAAAATCCATGGAATTGACTTTGATCCACTCACAGATGTGGTCATTTGCTGTGGCCAGTCGGAGGCCTTTGCAGCAACACTATTCGCAGGTATAGCTTTTGTTTTGCATTTTTTTTAAGCAAATTTGTGGAGATGGAGTGATTTTACAGAGGGCTATGAGTTTAATTTATTTTAGAATTTGTTCAGTAATTGATAGAGGTGATGAGGTGATACTTTTCGACCCGTCTTACGAAACGTATGACACTTGCATCAGGCTTGCCGGAGGAGTTCCGGTGAGCTGATATAGTTTCAGCACTAGTTATTGTCGTTGGTATTGTGATTAAGAATTTGACTATTGATGTTTTCATGGTTATTGAGGAAAATGCAGGTTTATGTAGGCCTCGATCCGCCTTATTGGACATTGAATTCAGATAAACTCGAGAAGTCATTTACCAACAGAACAAAAGCATTAGTGTTGAACAGGTATGGTTTAAATTGCCGGATGAACTTTTAAACTTTGCTAGTGAAGACGTGTTTTAAGTTGAAAACCCCATTCATTGATAGAAGTTCAAACCGATGCATAAATAAAAAAAGTTAGTATGGCTTGGGATAGATAGTTATCTAATTGAAGTGTGATGGTCTTCAAGTTGGGATCGGTGATGGGTTCTTAGGTACAAAGACTTTTTTAGAACTCTACTAATCAAATTGGCACAGTCCTCACAACCCAACTGGAAAGGTTTTCACCATTGATGAGCTTGAGATCATTGCTGGAGCTTGCCGGAGAAGGGATCTGATTGCTGTCACTGATGAAGTATGATAGACATTTATTTATAGTAAAAATGTTTTGGCTTAGATTTTTTAGACTCCCGTGGTTGATTTGTTTCTTCATTTAAGAATTAACGGAATGATTTATTGCTATATTTTATCTTCCAGTATGTGAACTGTATTTGGTCTAGGAGATCCGTTATCCGCAGGATGAGACTTAGTTTTCAGGCTTTGATGAGAAGACAGAGGAAATTGCATTTTAGTTTGGTTCTAATATTATTGAAAATATGGATACATTCTTGCAGTAATGCTTTAAACAGAACACCTTAGGAAAAACATAGAATTCAACTTATATCTTGTATGTCACAGTTGAAATGTACCTTGAAAACTGATTCTGATGTCAGATATCTATTTCTTGTAATTAGTAGCAGGCCTCAAAATCTAAGAGGATTCTGAGAAAGATAATTCTCATTCTATCAGATAAAAAAATAAATCAATGAAAATTTGAGGGCATTCTTTCTTGTCAGACATCTCAGCATATCATTTAAGTCCATAATATGACTTACATGTCAAACATAATCTATCAAATATTGCTGAATGTTAGGAAGTTGCTAGGCTCAATACATCTGTTCCAGTTTTCATTTCCATATGGCTTCAGCATTTTCTGTTTCGTTTTCTTAATTTATTTGCAGGTATACGAGCATATAACCTTTGACAATCAGAGGCATGTATCACTTGCTTCACTTCCTGAAATGCAATCGCGGACAGTCATCACATCTTCCCTGTCAAAAACTTTTAGTGTTACTGGTACATATCTTTCCTAATATTTTCTCCGACTTTCCTTTTGCTCTGGCTTTTACTTAATAAAATAGTTATCCTGTGGATGTATGAGCAAGAAAGAGTGTGTGACTAGCTCGACGCATTTTATAGGATGGAGAGTCGGATGGGCAATTGCACCCCCTTGCATTGCATCTGCAATCAGAAACATTCATATCAAAATTACAGATTCTGCTCCAGCACCTTTCCAGGAAGCAGCTTTGGTTGCGTTAAGAAGTTCTCCTGCATACTTCGATTCATTGAGAAAAGTATGATTTCAGCATAGATATTTTTTCACTTTATGTGATGATTATAGATTTTTCGGGTTAATAACAACAATGACAATAGGAAGACAGTTATTATCAAAATGTTCTGTGGAGTGGGCCATTTGTTCATTTGCGAGGATATTTAGTTTTGAAAGATACGAAATCTGGAGATTCGGTAATTAGACTAGGATAATTTGTCAATTGTATAATTATTTGTGCAGCATTGTAAATATCGAATCCTTTCCCTAATCGACAAGTGTCATATGATTGTGGTAATAGGAAATCTTCTGTATTCACAGGACTATGAATCAAAGAGAGATTACATTTTCAACTTGCTTGCCAAGGTTGGATTTGAGCTGCCGTTCAAGCCTCATGGCTCAGTTTTTGTGTTTGCACGGCTTCCTGAAAGTTGCCCCCTTAATGATGTAAGTATCTAATTATGCTACCTTCTAGCTCATATTTCTGTGTAAAGCAAGCCAACGGCCATTTGTCCTAATGAAGGGAAAAACATAAACCATTGCCCATAACTTCTATCTGGACTGATTTCTTAGGTTGTCTTACAGTTCTTTGTGACCTCTCTTAGGCACCCGACTGGTTGACATGTTGCACTATTCTAAGGATGTGTTTGTTTATAAATAAACTCAATATATACTCAATTCATACACAAAATCTAACTCATCTTTAATGTGACTTCACTATCCTTAATATTATTAATATAATTAGATTGATATAACTCTTACACATCACATCAACTTTAATTCACTATTCATCCACTCACATAATTTTAACTAACCATCACTTCACATCTTTTCTCTCCTACTTTTACATCAAATCAACTTTAACTATTTTATTTCAAATATTATTTAAATGTAAATTCAAAATCCCACTAACAACTAACTATATCACTTTTCTCAAAATTAACACTGGTTAAGAAAAAAAACTCGTTTTGAGAAAACGAGCGGATATATTTGTATCAAAGATTCATTTCTAAAGTTTGAGGATTACTATTTATCTATGATTAGTTTCATAAGATTAGTTCCTTCTGTAGTTCCCACTGTTGCAAGGTTTCATAGGCTACTGAATTTTAAAGGGTTGAGTTATTAGACGAGACGATATTTTTAATTTAAACGATCGACATTGCAGGCAGAACTTGTAGAGGAATTAATTAGGCAAGCAGCGGTTGTTGCAGTACCAGGCTCTGCATTTTTCCATGTAAATTCAAATGCAGGTTACGATCATCAACGGTATATCAGATTTGCTTTCTGCAAAAGTGAGGATACTCTAGCTGCTGCCTCAGCAAAAATCAGTGAGCTCGTTGATGTTAAAGGCACTTTCAAACTGCTTTACCTCGACAAATGATGAAAGTAAGCATATTTGGAAATAATACAATGTTTAACCATGCCTAACAATGGTATGCCTAACAAAAGTTCTAGATCAAGGTGGGCAATAACATGGAGAGCAAAAAACTTATGTTAACAAACATTTATATATCATCATTATAATAATTTCATGCCAAGGAAAAATGTTTGAAAATAAGGGCCATGGAGAATGTAAAACAGGCCGGATTTTTTAAAAATTTGAAAGCTTAAGAATCACATCTATGGTCTGTTTTAGAGTCTGTTCAGTTTTACATGGCAGAAGCATAATTTTTTAAAGATTAGGTTTACTGGCGTAACAACTAGGCTGATATACTTTGTCACAATATACATACTTTTATTAGAAACACTTATACTTTAAAAATCAACATAAATAGAAGTATGACAGTTAATAGTCTAAGTATGTATGTATCTGTGGATACGCCTAACAATTGGGATGACTTACACAAGAATTTGTGTTTTTTGGGCTGACTTACTATTTTTATTTTTATTTTTTATTTTTCTGGCTGACTTACTGTTTTTTTCAATACTGATTTACTATCATTGTATGGTATATTCCAATTTTATTAAGTTGAAAATCCCTATTGTGATTCCAATTTTATTAAATTGGCAGGGTCAAGGACTCCATTACAAACGGGCTTCGTTGTATCAAAAACAAGTGCTACGAGATTGTCAGACGGCTTTTAGCTAATCCTCCGAGGTTACCTCTTTCTTTCTCTCTTCTTATGCTGATATCTTTCATGTTTTAGTAGTCAATTTTGAAGGATCATGCTATTGTTTGCTTTTGGCCTTCTTAATTCTCTATAATTTTCCCTTGGCATGTTAATTGATTAAGGTATTTGGAGCTTAAATTAGATGCGCATCTCTGTTATAGTCAGAACAAAAATTGTAAGATCGATAAAGGATCCAGGCTACTGTTTTCTTTTGGTAAAGAATTACTTGAGGATCTCATTCAGAAAACTTGTCCATTAATTGATCTGCGGCCTAAATAACGTTTAGTCAGTCATATTGATGTTTATATTTAGAATAAAGTGTCATACTCTACAAAAAAATGCAACTAAAAGTATGATAATTTATAGCATATATATGTATTTTTGTTAAATATAAATAACGGGTCGACTATCCTAATGGTCGTGGTACTTTCAACATGAAAATGACATTGGAACGCTGGGACAAATACAACAACCATATTGAATATATGCAAAATGAACTATCCCTTTCGTGACCATTCACGAACAAAGAACAGAAAAAATAAATGAGCGAAATCAGAAAAGAAGAAAAAGAAGGGAAATATAAGANAAAAAAAAAAAATAAGTAAACCCACCACAGATTGAGCTCATCTATGGATCCAATAAAGAACACCGCAAAGGAAACAAATCGGTTTCGCGCCATTCTCTCCCGATTCGCTCTCACAAACTCCATAAGCCCGAGCACCAGTCCCTTGTGGCCTCCATCTCGAATCTTTATTAAACCGAACTTGTAACATATAATTACTTAAATACCCATGCTGTGGTGGCGATGGTGGTGGTGGTGGTGGTGGTGGTGGTGGTGGTGGGCTCTGGGTGTTGTCTTCTGGAGTTGAATTTGTTTATAGAATTGGGCTATGAACTCCTCGGCCTTGGCATCTATCATCTCATCCCCCGTGAGCGCATCGAACACCTCATCCGGATCCTCGTCCTCGTCATCATCACTGCTCTCGTCAAGGTCAACTAGGCTTGATGCTGATGCGTACTGACTCATCGCCCTGCTGGATGACGACCCTGCCACGGATTCCACCTCAACTGCCTCGTCATTCTTCTCCTCTTTCTGAGGAGGCATCTGTGTTGCCTCTTGGAGATGAAGAGGCCTCACGGATCCCACCAACTGTGTCCAACTGTTGTTGTTGCTGTTGTTGTTGTTGTTCGTTGGCAGGGTAACATTATCCTTATCCTGCTTGACGAGATCTTTGTTTTTCAGGGCCGGTTTGCGGGGCCCACTTTGCTTGCGCATCATGAGGAGGGCGGCTCGGAAGATTCCAAAAGCGCCGCTCTTTTTCTTCTTCTTTGTCATCTTTGAGTCGGTGTCGTCCGACGGATTGGAGGGGACGTTCTTAGTGAGGTTCTTGGCGAAGATGGCATCGTTTTCGAGCACGGTTCCCGCCATTATTGATTATTATTTTAATTTCGAGAATTTGTGTACGTATATGTGTATGTATCGTGGCTCTCGAAAGGCTCTCCCTGCAAAATGCAGGGCAGAGAAGAAGGGAAAAGGCCTATGGGACGAGGAGATTTGGAGAGCTCACCCACGTTTGGGAGGCACTCGTTAATGCTATATATATGTGAACTGAATTCTTGGATTAACTTTAGACCTTTCAATATTTTCCGGTACATAAATAACAATATTGTTTATTTATTTATTTATTTTCATTCAAACTTTGATGATAGCACCATATGAGCCCTTGGAAATTCAATACAATGCTTACCTTAATTGCATGAATTTGTGTGCGTTTGTATGGTTGAGATGAATCATAGGAGGGTTGAAAAGGTCAGTGGCATAATATGTGTCCACGAAGGTGGTTTCTGGCCGGGAAGAGAATGTTTGTGGTCTGAAGGAGTTCTTGCAGGAAAATAGCTTGTTTTTTTGGGTGGTGTTTTTTCATTGTTTTTTAAAACTGTATTTTTTTTTGGCTATTGTACCCACACATTGTAAGTCCTTAATTTTACGTGGCTTTTCTACACAGTAAACGGTCAACTCTGTTAATTTATGTACTACTAATTAAATTTAGAAAACTTAGTTGCAAACCCACATGAGTGTGCGTGCAGGGGCGGAGCCACCCATGGGTTAGGGTGCCAGCCTCATGTCANCATGCTTGAGCTTGGAGAAGACAACTCATGTTCAAGCTTGAAATTACATTTTTACCCTAACTTAAATAGATAGCTTCTTGGGCCATCCTATGATGTTTTTATCAATGTACTATATATCAACTACGTTGTTTTTTCTAGTTTCAGCCCCTATTTGTCCCACCCTACTCAGAGGGTTCCGCTATTGCCCAGCATAATAAACAATAACAAGATACATTTCACTGATCCATTTATCAGCAGTCCTTTCCAAAAATAGCTTCATGATGGGAATATTAAATCAAAGGAATAAAGAACTAGTTTCCCTCACCAAGGTCTATTATTCACATTACGAATATTAAATCAAAGGAATAAAGAACTAGTTTCCCTCACCAAGGTCTATTATTCACATTACAGATATAAACATGAATGAACGAATGCTAATCAAGCAATAGTTCCAGAAATTAAGGTACTAAAACAGCCTCCAAAAAAAATTGCAGATACTTCAATATAAAAGTGTACCAAAATGGGAGAACCAACCTAATATGTCCAAATTCCAGAGAAATTAAATTAATTTGCAGAACATGGGAATTGTACAAGGTTACCTCAGGTAGAAAAAGAAAATATCAAGAAGCTAAAGACATAAGGGAAATCAAGAACAAGAACTATATGTCTAACACACTGTAGTCGATCTCTAAATAGTTTCCAACAGGCAATATGTTGCAATTAGTGCAATACGAACATAAAGAATTACCTCAATCTAGGCAAAACAATCGCGACTTGAAACACCTAAAACCTCCCGCCCTCCGCATAACCAGAAGCATGAAAGGAGACCTACTCAACCAACAATTCCAACATCCGAAATATCCACCATCTCGATACGCTCATTTTCTGGCAAAACCGACCAATTAGGAGATTGTACTGCCCTTAACCATCGAAAATCATCCACATTCATCCAATTCCCAGTCTCCTCACAAAGATTTGCCTCCATCAAGTCCTTCTCTAATCCCTCGTAACTCAAACAATAAGGAGCAACCCTAACTCCCCAACTATCCTCGATAATCGGCCTACTCCTTACCCTAAGATAAAAATCACAACTTTTCGAATTATGGATCCTGATTTGATGCGAAGCCAACACGAACACACACCCTTCAGCTCCCTCAATCAAAACCGATCCCATAACTGCACCTATGTACACCTTACAGTTCTTCAATTTATCCATGAACAATGCTCTTAGATGCCCCTTCAATCTGACTTCACAGCCCCTCAAATCCGACAGCGTAAATTCTACATTTTGTTCCTCTGGCTCATTACTGTCGAATTCTTTCGCTAAAACCTCGTTTTCTCTGTTTCTAAACCCGGGCCCGACAATCAAATCCCTAAACCCTAACTTTTCCAATTCCAAATTCGGTTTTATCTCGGGTTCTGAGACGACAGCTACATCTTTTTGATCTGGTAGTGCGGTGGCTTTTCTGGGTGCTTTGTTCTTGAAGGAGAATTTTTTCTTCGGGATGACGAGGAAGGTGACATCATCGACCGATTGCTTAAGCTGCCCGACGGCGTTGAGGCAGGTGCGAACTTCGTAGGGGGGCAGAAAGTAGGAATTCTCGGCGACGAGCTTCTCGAGGGCGGAGATATCGAGTGATATTGCTTCCAGATCGGGTTTGCGGGTCGGATCTGGATCTGAACGGATCTCGGAGATTCGTGATTCGATGTTGAGCTTAGACTGCGAGAATTGGGCGAGGAACGACTGTGTGGACTCGAATGTCGACGCCGAGGTGGAATCCGGCTTGACGGAGAGGCGAGAGAGGTGGCGGTTGGAAAGGCGCTCCAGCATCGCCGCGCGCTTACGCTCGAGGGTTTCATCAGCGGCAGCGGCCGGAGGTTGTTCGGTTTCATCCATTTTGCCGCGGCGGAAAGGAGCGTCAACTTTTTGTGGTAGTTTGGGCGTCCGCCGTTTATGATCAATTAGTGCGTAGCCCGTGCATCGGGAAACAATAATTAAGGACTAATTAACAGAGTTGACCGTTTACTGTGTAGAAAAGCCATGTAAAAGTTAACAGAGGGAGTACTAATTAAATTTAGAAAACTTAGTTGCAAACCCACATGAGTGTGCGTGTGTATGACTGGGTTAAAACCTTGTAGCCCACGAGTAAATCTATTAACTTCTTTTGAAGATTTTGGGTTCAATTTTGTCATGTCTAATTGTGTGATTTTGATGAAAGTTTGGACGTGATTGTAAATATGGGATCTTTCGATTTATTCACATTTCTTTAATTTGAACTTTTCTTGCTATACCAAATTGGTTTACTATAGCCTGCCATACCTTAAAGCCCAAACTACATATAGCTCTGATGGCCCGCTTTTAGTTCGCATAGAAAATTTTTGAGCAACGGGCTCAAAAGCCCATTTACTTTTCCAATCCTACATGGGCCTATGATATCTGGGCGTACATGACGGGCATCAACATACTGAGTTATCTGACTGTAAAATAGTTTCCTAGCCATTTTCCTAAGCAAGTAAAATGAAAATAAACTAACAGAACAATTAATATTGGTAAAAGGGAAAAAGAAGATCACTAAAAAATACTTTAGATACCTACCAGTACCAAAGAATTTCAGTGGCGATTGAATTATTGTGGTATGTGTACTGACACATGCCACTGACTAAGTTGATTTTGCTCACTATTCTAATTTTAGGACAAGTAGCCAATTTGGTTCCTCTGTATTTTTTCTCGTGGTATAGCTATGGGCTGTTTTAACCGTTCGATTAACATTATTACATATATCAGTACGCAGTGTATGAATGAGTGTGATCAAATGGTTTTGTCTCTTATTTTTTCTTCCTTTGACACTTCCCGACAATATAATTTAACGGCAACTTTTGTGAGGTTGGCGTAACTATTAAAACCGACATATTTTTATTTGAAAATATCATACTTTAATAAATAACATGAACATACTTGATAGTTTAAGTATCCATTACTATTCAAAGAGTATGACAAATCAGCTAGACTTTCTTACACAAAATTTGATTATCACTGAATAAACATAAATTCATCCAACCGTTGAATCTATACTATATATGTGCGATCCAACTGTACGAAAAAAAAATTACAGAATTTTGTGTGCTTCTAGTGAATTAATTGGAATATAAATTTGATTTATTTCTTTAAAATACGGATCATATGTAAATTTATTATTTCTAATGTCACGAAATAGCTACACAAAATACAATGAACGAGTTATGGTTGTAAACATATATTTATCGGAGTTTTCATCGTTGAATCAACAAATTAACTGTTAGAGTTAGGAGATATTCAGATACTAACGCATATCCTCATAGTCAACCATTAAAAAATTTCCAAACAAAATTGATACATTAATTTTGACAAAGCTATATCAATTGTTTAAAATAACTTAAACGAAACCTAATGAATTTTGAATATCAGATAATGAGTGACGTATATAAACGCACAAGAACCTATCAAAGTCATTCCTTATTAATTAACATTATTAATTCTTGTTCTTTGATTGGTGCACTACATTTTCTGCTAATTTTCCTTTGACCCTGGTTTGTTCCTTTCAACTTGCTCTTCTTCATATAAATTTTATTAAAATGTTTGACAGTTGTTAAGAACGAAAATGTTAGACAATTTATACAACAATTTGTCTGTTGCCACTTGCCAGTAGAGTGCGGAGGAATTTTCATTTAATACTGTAACTTCAATTTTTTTTTTTTCTTAAATTTCAAAATTCAATCATTTGTATATAGTACATAATTCTATTAATCCTGTTGTTTAAAATGGCTAATCAAGACAAGAATAACAAGCTGATCAAAGCCTGAAAGGAAGGAACCTCACACTTTCTCATCTAGACAGACTGTTTTAGATAGTAATTCCACCATAAGACTATATTGTTAGTCACTATTAACAGTTAGATCATATTTGTTTACATATTTACATATATACATTCAAAATTAAAGTGTCATACTTTAAAAAACAACTTAGGCAAAAATATCACGTTTCATATTAAAAAAATATAATGGGTCATATTCATACAAGAATTGAAGGTAATAATCACAAATAAAGAACATGATAGTTCTGGTATCTTTGAGCATCCCTTATCTATAAAGTAAAATTATAAAAAGTGAATGATTTACTCAACAAAACTAATAACTTTTTCTGAAAAAAAAAAAATATATATCATTACAAACATTTTAGAAATATATAAATATATATATATATATATAGGGGCTGGTTCAAATAAAAACTAAGTCTGGTGTGAGAACCGTGAAAACCACGTATTTTTAATATTGCATGGTCTATCATTTTCATAAATGCTAATAAAAATTTTATTGCTATTTTTAATCAAATACATCCTAGTTAAAAATAACACTAAAACACAATCAATCATAACACTACATACAATTAAAAATAGCGGTTCTCACGGTTCTCACGTTAGGACTTGGTTCTCATTTGAACCACATCCTATATATATATATATATATAT